CCCCTTTTCTGACCTTCTGAAAAGCAAAGTCAAAGGGGAAGCCAGATTCACTTAACAACCCTGTTACTAATTTAACATCTGCAGGTATTCACTTAACAGCTACGGCAAGGAAGGTCGTAAAATGGGGCAAAACTCACTTAAGAAATATCTCATTTAACCACAAATCAGGGGCTCAATGGTGGTCATAACTCCAGGACAACCTGTATTGTGATTGTTTTATGATTGTGCATGCCACCAGCAGTTGCTTATCTGAAATGAGCAGCTGAAGCAATTAAATAAATGTGAAAGGAGAATCCAGCAGGCCAGAAAGTAAGTACAGGTAGTCCTCAAATTACAACCATTTTTTACCGACCCTCCTCTCCCCCTGCCACCTTTGTGGGAGGCTCCTGCTGCTGCCAGGCCAGCTCCAAATCTCATTTACTTACCCTAGATGAAGTTCCCAGATGGGTTGCATCTACAGAAAGCAGGGGTCTGCCTACAAGCAGAGCCCCAGCAGGGAAGCCCTGTGATGCCTGAGTCTTGCACATTGTCTCACCTCTTGCTGTTCCTCGCTCTTCTTTTCCTGACTCATTGGCTGGCGCTTTGTTTGCCCTGCTTGCACATGAGTGCGATCCCCGCCCCCATCCCACACTCCAGCAGGCCAACCCACGATTGGCAGTTGGAGGGCTTGGTTTCCGTCTCTGCTTTTTGCAAATAAATCATGATCTCTCAGGGAAACCCTGGTGATCTCTCACAAAACTCTAGGGTTCAGTGGAACCCTAGTTGAGAAACTCTGTTTAAGTGAATCAAGGGGGAGCTTCTGACTAAGCTTCTTTCTCTTACTTGCTGTTTCCCACGTTCAAAGCATGCGCTTGTTTTTGTACCCATAATCTCTACATAGATCTCTGCATAGTGGTTAAGACACCAGGCAAGAAATTGGAGACTGGGAGTTCTAGTCCTGTTTTAGGGGTGAAAACTACCTACTTGACTTTGGGCCAATGACCAGGAAATGGTGAATTCTAGCCCTGTTAGGGATGAAAGCCAGCTGAGTGACTTTGGGCCAGTGACCAGGAGATGGTGAGTTCTAGTCCTGCCTTAGGCATGAAAGCCGGCTGGGTGACTTTGGCCCAGTCACTCTCTTTCAGCCCAACTCACCTCACAGAGTTACTGTTGTGGGTTAAATGGGAGGAGAAAGGAGCATTAAGTATCTTTGCTGCCTTGAGTTATTTATATAAAAATTATATAGGCAGAATTTAAAAAAATTAAGTAAAAATTTTAAAAAAATATCCAAGATTATCTCTTTGGTTCTATGCAATAGGTTTCTTACAGGGTGTGATGTGGATAACAGATGGAGCAGAAGAGGCGAGCTTTCTTGGACAATTTTTTAAAAAATCTCCATTTTCTGGCTTAGAACATCTTTTTTTAGTAACTATTTTTGCATAGTTTTTTCCAAGGTCACCACCATGGCTCTCTACAGAAACAGATGTGCAAACTTTGGGGAATAAGAACTACATTTGTATAAGGAGCCAAAGGCTATGCTCTAAAAAGTGAGAGTAGAACAAATTATTAGAATTAAGTTAGAGACATGAATATGTTTTTGAAATGTTGACAGATGCATGCAAAAAAAAAGGGAGGAAATGAAGAAAATTGTCCTGTTAAAAAACACAGAAATAACCTGTGCAAATTCAAGAGCAGCGATGACATGACTAAAAAGGAACGCACATTCTAAATCATACGATCTTTTCACCCATGATTTGGAGAAAGGCTCCTTCGATGCTCTTAATGCAGAATTTTAGTCCTGCACTTTTAGGAGCATCCTCTGCTCCTAAAATTCAGTACCAGCCGCAAAATGAAGAAGGAATGCTATTAAACATTGAAGATGTTGAATTGGAAGGTTATGCGAACCAGAGCACCATCTCTACATAAGGGGAACGAGTAGCTGCATAAAAACTGAGGCATGGCAAACGTTTAAAGATCATGGCAGGTTTGAGATGGGAGGGAGGGGAATAAGAAAGTAGGGGGGGGGGAAAGAAGTTGAAATGAGGCCCTACAAGAAGCAATGTGAGTGTATATTCAATGTGGAATGAAGGACCATTAAGAAAACGAATTGAATAGCAAAATCTGAAAGGATCCTAGATCAGAAGCAAAGACTAGATGTGCCCAGTGGCATATAGAGACAACCCAAAAAAAGATTTTAAGAGGCAGCAAGGAAAACTGGCAGGAACAAACTCTCCTCAAGCAGAGGTGAATTATAAACAGGAATATGAACACAGCAACAGACTACATGAAAATGAGTTTCTGGGTGAGTCAGGGTGCATCAGGGGAGAAAATAAAAGATGGGAGAAACGTGCAGCAGAAGAAAAACAGTAAAGAGTCATCAGTATGATGGGACTGAGGTAAGAAGCGAGGGAGACAGGTGGGTCAATGTCTAGATAAGGTTTACACAGGAAAGGTGAACTGAAACCTGCTGGTGGAACTGAAGTGATCTTTTCTACCCATCCTACCTGAAGTGGCAGGAGAGACGTGCTCTGGGCACTGTCAGCTACAAAGTTATCAGCTGGTGGGGCTGAGAGGAGATTTTTTTTCTTCCTGTTGGAGCACTCACCCTTTAGAACAGCGATCCCCAACATTTTTGGCACCAGGGAAGAGTTTTGTGGGAGAGTTTTGTTTTTCCACGGACCAGCCTGGGGGTGGGGGTGGGGTGGAGGAGCTTCCACACGTGAACAGTTCACAGTAGGGTTTATGCTCCTATGAGAATCTAATGAGGTGGAGCTGAGGCAGTAGCACTGGGGAATAGTTGCAAATACAGATGAAGCTTCATTCACTGCCCTGCTGCTCACCTCCAGCTGTGTGTGGCCTGGTTCCTAACAGATCGTGGACTGGTACTGGGCCCGTGGTCCAGGGATTGGGGGTCCCTGCTTTAGAATATCATCCTCACTTAAGGTTAAAGTGGATCTGAGCTTGTTGGCATTTTGTAAGGCTTTGAAAACTTGGCTTTGTGTCCAAGTCTATAGCCCTGAGTGTATCACAGAGCCTGGCTGTCTGGCTGATTGATTATATTATGACTTACTGCTTGTGGTTATTTTTATTTTCTGTTTTTACACTGTGCATTTATGTATTTTATTATAAGCCTCCTAGACTCGCATAAAAGTACAGGTAGTCCTCAACTTACAACAGCTCACTTAGTGACCATTCAAACTTCTAACATCACTGAAAAAAGTGACTTATGACCATTTTTCACACTTACAGCCGTTATAGCATCCCCTGGGCATGTGATTTACATTTGGATGCTTGACAACGAACTTACATTTACGACGGTTGCAATGCCGCAGAGTCATGTGATCGCCTTTTGCTACCTTTTAACAAGCAAAGTCAATGAGCAAACCAGATTCACTTAACAACCATATTACTAATTTAACAGTTGCAGTAATTGGGGTAACAAATGTGACAAGAAAAAGTTATAAAATGGGGCAAAACTCACTTAAGACATTTCTCGCTTAACAATGTAAATGTTGGGCTCTGTTGTGATCATTGAGGACTACCTGCATACGGATGACGAACTGTTGATGTTTACCTACTTAGGTGATGAAACATCTTCAAGAAAACAACCAAGACCAGAGAACACCAAGGACCCCTCATGTAAAAGTGAGGTGGACAGCTGTACGAATCAAATAAATAAACGAATACTTCGAATGTTCCACTTGATTAACAAATTAATGCATTTTCTGGATTAGCACAATGCAATGGGTCTGCAAAAAAAAAAAAAAGCCAAGTCTTCAGGCTAAACCATTAAAACCAAACCAAACGTAATAATAAGCTAGCTCTTTAACTAAGTTGGTTATATACTTCAGGTGAAGCAAGCTGTTCAGATGGGAAGCAAGGAGAAGAAAACTGAGATAAATGAATGTTTCATCATAGGACAGAGGTCTATAAATGGAAGGAAAAAGGAAAAAAAAAAAAAAAGGTTGCAAGGGCTAAAAGTGAAAAGAAGCAGAAAGTGAGAAGGCATGACCATGGGTGGGAAGATGTTTCAAGCAGGCTGGAAAGTGGGTGGGAGTGAAGGATAAAAATGAAGTGTCAAGTGATGGAGGCAAGGATGAAGCCAGATTCAAGCAAGAGATGAAATAAGCAAGCTAAATAAAGGAAAGGGGGTTCAGCGGGTTGTAGGAAAGTGAGAAAAAGCATAAAAATGGGGATGTCAAAATAAAAATGGGTAAGTCAAAATGGGGGGGAAGAAGTCATGAGGGGATTCAAGAGCCCAACCTTCTTGTGTGGGGAGGAAAAAAGGACCACAGGAGCTAGTCTCCTTCCTGGACCCACATACCCCCCACACCTTTCCCAACCCAGGATGATGGGGATGGTAGTTGAAGGCACCCAGAAAGGGACTGGTATCTAACCCATTTTGGGAGGACGCCAGTCAATCCCAAAGCCTGCGAGCGAGGGGATGGGGAGTGGTAGCGTCAGGACGGGCTGCCGGGAACGATGGGCTTCTTCACGCCAGAAGGACTGACACGCCCCCTTCGCTACGCTGGCTGGGAACGATGGGGAGTGGAGTCCGCGCCTCGGCGAAGAGGAGGAGGAACGAGCCCAGGGTGCCCCGAAAGAGCCATTTACAGAGGGATTTTTTTTTTTTTTGCAGGGGGATTATTACCGCGCTGGCAGGCTGAGCCTTCATCGGAGGAAGGGGCTCCTGCGGTCGGGAGGGGTGGAGGAATAATAAAGCCGCTCCGTCCGTCCGTCCGTTTCAGCCGGCCTACTCGTTCGCTTGCCCGCCCGCCCGCGCCGGCTCAGCTTCATCTGCTAGGAAACCACCGCAATAATGCCAATGCCGCCGCCAGCCCCACCACCTCCATCGCCTCCCCTCAGCAAGCGCGGCTGCTTCTCCGGCCCGGCTGATTACGCGCCTCAGCACGGCCGGACAGCTGAGGGAAAGGGGGGGAGGAGGAGGGCCTTGAGCGCGAGCGGCCCAGCCAATCGGAGGCTCCCGCGCGCGGCCACCTTCGTCTAGCCGCCCAATCCGAGCCGAGCCATGTGACCGCCCAAAATGGCGGGCCCCACGGGCGGCGTGTGACCCAGCCGAGCGACTCGACCTCGGGGCTCTTCGCGGGGCCCGGAGCGAGAAAAGACCCTGAACGGGGAGGCCTTTCCCGTCTGACCGGGGCTGCGGCTAGCAAAAGGGAAGCGCCTATAAAACGTAGGTGGAAGGAAAATGCTTGGGAAAGGGCGGGGAGGTGCGGGTGAAGAAAGCTCCGTTGCCCGCCGCCACCAGCACCACCACTACCACCATTGATCGGTTCTCCTTTGCTCTAAACCGGGAGGCCTTCCGGGCTGGCTTCTCTCCTGCCAAACGGACCTTAAAATTAAACAACGCCGGGCGGGGTCCGCGGGTGCAATGCAGGGATTGCTGCAGAAGGGAAGACATCCCTATGTATAGCTCCGGCTTGGTGGGCTGCCTGCGGACCTTTCGCTGCCCAGCTAGGAAGGTCGCGATTGCGGGCAAACCTCGACCCAGGGATTCCGACACAGGGGTTACGACGGGGTGTGTGTGTTAAAGAGGGGAGGGCGAGGCTGCAGGACGAGACTTTTGCTACCTGCGAGAGGGAAGTGGCTGCAGCGCTGCTGCAAAACGGGGCAGGGGGTAGGGCCGACCTTCCTAAGTGCTGAAAGTGGGTGGTTGGTTGGTTGGTTAGGAAGGAAGGAAAGAAAGAAAGAAGGAAGGAACGAAGTGGATGGACAAAAGGAAGAAAGGAAAGAGTGGAAGGAAGGTATGGATGGATGGATAGATAGAAGGAAGGTAATGGGTGGACAGAAGGAAGGAAGGTAGTGGATGGACAGACGGAAGAAAGGAGTGGAAGGAAGGTATGGATGGACAGAAGGAAGGTAATGGGTGGACAGAAGGAAGGAAGGAGTGGAAGGAAGGTATGGATGAGTGGAAGGAAGGTATGGATGGATAGAAGGAAGGTAGTGGATGGACAGAAAGAAGTGGATGGGCAGAAGGAGGAAAGAAAGGAGTGGAAGGAAGGCATGGATGGACAGAAGGAAGGTAATGGGTGGACAGAAGGAAGGAAGGTAGTGGATGGACAGAAGGAGGAAAGAAAGGAGTGGAAGGAAGGATGGATGGACAGAAGGAAGGTAATGGATGGACAGAAGGAAGGAGTGGATGGACAGAAGGAAGAAAGGAAGGAGTGGAATGAAAAAAAGAGTGGATGGGTGGATGAGAGGGAGGGATAGTAGGGAGGTGCTAACCTGCATGGATCATCTCTCTGGGGTTGATGATGAACTCCACTGTAAATCAGAGCACCAGAGTGTGAGGTCTGCTTCTGCTTCAGAGAACAATCCAACTTTCATTTACTAAATTTACATGCTGCCCATCTCACTGTTGAAATGACACTTGTTGCCCCAAAACAAAGTTTCCCAACATGTGAGGTGCAGGAAGAGCCCAGAGGTGTGAAGAAACGTTTAGTTACATCGTGACAATAAATCCACCTTTCCCAAAGTTTCCTGGCCTCGTTTTCACAACTTCCTTTGTGTTGCTCCCCTCGTTTTGAAGTACTGTACATGCCATCCATCTAGTAAACTTGCAAGATTTGTTTTCCTCACGATGCACATGTATACATAGTTTCTCTGTGTCATATATGTGGGTACATGCATAATTTTGTATTTACTGTGTAATGTTTATGTAGTGTATATTGCAGATGGTGACCTTTTGAGAGTTGTGTGCAACAAAATTTTGTTTTAATGTATGCCGATTAGTGTACATTCAAAGTGACAAAAGGCTAAGTGTTCATATAGGGGCTGGGATTTCTAAGGTAGGTGTGTTGGCAAGCAAAAGTTTAGTAAAGACATTTCTCAAGTTTGAAGGCAGCTGTGATTTAGCATACCTAAAAGCATTGTGTGTGTGCATTGTATTTTGCAACTTCAAATCAATTTTAATTTTTATCAAACCTTTTTTACAGAATAAAAACAACACAAATGGAAAGTAAAAGTAAAGAGGAGGGAGGGAGGGGCTTCTGTTCCTTACAGTTTGCCAGTGCATATAAAAATAGATAGGATTGAAACGGAAAAAATGAATGTAAGGCATTGGATCAGAGCATCTTGACTGATTGATCTGTTTCAGGACATTATTAAAATAAATTGAGACCTTTTACAGGTCTTCATTTTCCAGCATAGATGGTTTCAGTTGTTTAAACTTTACAATAGGAAGAGCAGGATTTTGATGTGTAAGAATTAACTTGCTTCTTTGTTGCTCTCTTGGCATTAGACAAAATGAATAGGCTTCATCAATTAATCAGTCTATTTATTCAATTTCTATAACTGCCAAACTCAATCAAGTAACACTGAACAGCTTTCAGTTTAGTTATTGTTTTGGCCATTGGTAGAAACAAAAATAAAGCCTACCTAAAAATGGCATTAATAAAGATGTTAATAAAATAAGTGAACATTCAAACACTCTCATTCCAGCAAATAAAATACCAGAAAGCATTAGAAACTTTTGATAGGTATTGTTTAGCAGCAGCCCATGCAAAGCTTGCTGATTTCCATAGCATGGTTCCTTCTCTCAATTCATTACGTATTCAAATTTATATGAATTAGGCCAAAATGATTTCCTTATCAAGAGGGGAGTCTAGAAACTTTCCACCGTGCTGAAGGAGAAATAAGAGCACTACAATAAATAATGGGTAAAATCTATAATTTCCTTGGAGCAAGGACAGAGCCCACATTTATATGGGATATTGTGGCCCTCTGTAGTTGTTAATACCTTTTACTGGAATGATAAGTCTTGTAAATGCTGTTCAGGGGAATGGCACTGTAACATCAATCAGAATAGAACTGGAAGGGACCTTGGAGGTCTTCTAGTCCAACCCCCTGCTCAAGCAGGAGACCCTATACCATTTCATGCAAGTGGCTGTCCAGTCTTTTCTTAAAAGCCTCCAGTGATGGAGGTACCCACAAAGTCCAAAGGCCAGCTGTTCCACTGATAAATTGTCCTCACTGTTAGGAAGTTTTTCCTTAATTCCAGGTTGCTTCTTTCCTTGATTAGTTTCCATCCATTGTTTCTTGTCCTGCCTTCTGGTGCTTTGGAAAATAAGTTGCCCCCCCCCCCTTCTGTTTTATTAAATGTGTACCAACAGACAATTATATTTTGTGATAATGTAAAGGGATTTCTTTGAGCAAAGACATGCAGCGCCCTGTTTTTGTAATAATAAAATATACCTGTTTTGGAAGTGCTGCAGACTCTGAGCAAGAACTGTAAACTTCAATTATAACTATTCCTTACAGCAGCTTAATTTTCCAGGTTCCCTCCCTGCTTTAAGGAAATCTATTAATTACTGAAAATCTAAAATGAATCTTAAAGCACTCTCCCCCCCCCCCCCAGGCTTGGGTAAAAGTGGAGATCCATTGTACTGATAAGAAGCATTATTGAAGCATTACAATGCCATTATGTTTGTTCTCTTTTAATCCCCTTTATCTCCTTTGTTTTTTCAATGCTACAGAGATTAAAATGGCAGGGAAAGAATTTCTGGACCATCCTGTGGAGAAAAAATTCAATCATTCGAGAAAAATCCCAGAAGCCAAATGGCAGATGATGTTGGAAAGGCTGCCTCAGCGAGATCAGTGAGCACTTAGCACTTTGCAAATACCTGAATATTTAAGTAATTGACTTACAACTTTTTGTTTAGTGACCACTTGAAATTACAAGGGCACTGAAAGAAGTGACTTATGACCATTTTTCACACAACCATTGCAGCATCCCTATTCAAACTTATTGTCTCGTCTTGCTTCTTTTATTTTCTGGGTTCACACCATACATTGAAATACACACACATACAACCCCTAATCAGGTTTAAAGCCAACCAAATGTAGCATCTTTAGGGTTTTTGTGTGTGTGCAATAAACAGTTCTTTAACTTCCCAAGTTATGAAATAGGCAAAATGAAACTCTCCACATATTTTTCTCAGCTAGCAAAGCCAGCAGTCAGAAAATCTTAGGAGTTCTACATAAGGAGGTTGCCAGCCCAACGTTGCAAAGTTAAATATTTAGCTTCAGATATAGCTTCACTCTTAATGTTTGTTCTTTGTGACCAAAATGTTTTTCAGCCCTGTAATGGGATGAAAAGCCATTTTTGATTAGTAACTATTTACAAATCTAAGTCATTTCTCGTTATTATTTATTTTCAGAGAATTCCAAGTACAATTCTGGGTTTATGAAAATTAAGAGCACTGATAATATTTCTGCCTTTCAGAAAAAGGGGAGTCATGTTATGAAAGGATGTTTCGTAGACCCCTTTTTAAAAACTTCTAAAACTGGACTGAATTTGGGTAGGAAACTGTTGAAAATATTAATTCTCCCCCAAATACACTGGAAGTTCTGATGTAACCATAATCGTGCCCATCCGTCAAAATAGTGTCAAAAGTGCAACCTCTTGGTGCTGAAAAAATAGCCCACACCTGCTTCAGGAGGTTAGCAGAGTTCTGTCTGCTGCCTTGAATAGGCTTTGCATTCATTACTACTTCAGCAGTTCACCTACGCAGGTATGCACCTGTCAACCTTAAGGCTCATTCTGAAAATCTAGAATAGTTTAGAATCTCATGACATTCCTGAGGACTAGCTTTATGAAAGGCACGAGCAACCTGGTTCATACAGTGGTGGCCATAAATGGATGCTAATTTGATAAAGGATGCCAATTTCAGTAGGGCTTTTTGTTCACCTAAAAATGTCAGACTTCGCTTAGGAGAAATTATAGTCTTACTGTATGAACCTGATTGCTAGCTAATTAATTAATTACCCATTATGAAGCTAGTCCTCGGGTATATTTCATGAGATTCTATACTATTTTAGGCTTTCAGAGGGAGAATATTTGCTTTCCTTTTTTATTCTTTTGCTATAGCATGTGATGCACTATACTGATAAGACAGGTTAGTGTTGTAGTCGTTAGTGGTGGTGGTATTATAATAATACTTTCTCTTCTTCTACAGAAATTTCTTCCTAAATGGAAGCTTTGCCCTTGCCCTCAATTCAAGTCTCCTTGCCTTAATATCTAATAACTCGTTTAGGAAGATTCTGCATGTCACGCAGGCTCGTTATTCAACAGTTGTAGCCATGTCCATAATGCCCCTCACCATAACAACAGTTGCTTATGAGGCCATAGTAAAACACTCTTTGATGACAGGTATGTGTTAAGACTTCATCTAAATAATTCAATCTTTTTTTTTCCTGATCTCTGTAATAACTGTGCCGATATTTCCGGCATGGCACAGACTTACCTTCACTGAGACAGATTGGACCCCATCCTCTTTATTATGTGGTGTGTCTCTTTAATAAATAACAATTTGTAGTGGTGGTTCTGGAACTGGTTGTCAAAGTTTGCTGCTTCTTTTTTTAATTATGCCCCACAAAACAGAACTCATTTTAGTAAATAGTGTGTAATAGTTAGGTAAGATCCTGGTACTTACGGCTCCAGATGAGGTAAACCTTACTTTAAAGTTATAACTCCAATTCTTATGAGTTACTTTTTTCCATTCACTGCACTGTACAATTCCCAGAATAATTTCCAACATATTTAACTTTTTATCATGCTTGGTAAGGGTACTGGAATGCCTTCCCCCTTTTTCAAAGCTTCTATTTTCAAAAAGATTCTGAGCGGCTTACAATATTTTAAAACAGAACTTTAAAACACGGTTAGAAACATAACCACCCAGAGAAGAGAGTAGACAGGAGGTCCCCAAACTCCCTACTATTCAGGCCAACAGATGCCTTAAGAAATTTGAAATATCCAGAACGCTAAGAGAGCAGTCATTGTATGTATCTTTGGTGAATGCTATTTATTAGAAGTTGTGTCTTTTCAATAAATTACCAGGGAGTTGCAATAGAATAGGCATGCTTCCTGAATCTCATAAGATGACAATTGTTAACTGACTGGACCTGGAGCACACCTATTCTACCTATTCATATGGGTAGAAGTGAATGGACGCAAATGGACTCTCAAATAGCCAGGCCCTTTTCCGTGAAAATCCAGCATCTTGAATTGCATCCAAAAGCCATGTGGCAACTTGTGCAGCTTGCCCGACAGCAGTGATACATGGACATAACAAGAAGCTCTCATTACTACTGTCAGGCTGCTATGTTTTCGAAGAGCTGTAGCTTCTGGATAGTCTTGAAGGGAAGACCCATGTACAGCACCTTGCAATACTTCAATTGCCAGGTAATCAGATTCTAGTTGGATATTGCTGAAGTTTTTACATGAAGAGACACACTATAAGCTTACTCTTTTCTCTGGCTGCTACATTATGGAGAAATGGGGTCTTTACTGAAGTTCTGCCTGTTCTAAGACAGAAGCATCCAATATGATGTGTGTTTTCCAAAGCCTTTTATAGTCCATTTTATGAAACATTAAGAAATTACTGATAAAACTAAAGCAGCACTGGAAAAGACATCAGCAGCAAAATTAGGACAGGCATCAATGTAGTCTGAACAATCTGTTTTTCTGATAGTAATGCAACTACAGTAGAGTAAACTGCTTTTTAAATACAGTACTGTTCCTCTAATCACTGTTTCTCAACTTTGGTAGTTTTTAAAGATATGTGAAATTCAATTCCCAGAATTCCCCAGCCAATTCTAGAAGTTGGAAGTCCACACATCTTAAAAATTGCCAGGACTGTCTGAGAAAAAGTGATTGAAGATGTTAAATCTGCATTCAGAATGAGTATTTTGAACCATCCAAGGCCAGGAAAATTAGGCATCTCATTCATACTTGTTCTGAGTGTTCTCCTGCAATGGAAATCTGAAACAAGTCCCCATGTTCCTTCATGTTTTGATTTGGACCACCAGAAAAGAGTGATAGATATCCTGGAACTACCCGTTTTACAACCTACAAAACACTGGCTAAGATGTTAGCATTCCTAAAGGTGGGCTTCCATAATTTAAAAATAATTAAAATAACCCTGGGCCAATTACTTTGCAGATCATGTAATAGAACTTGGCATGGATTACTGTGCTAATGTATGGTTCATGGGGAAGGGAGAAAAGAAAGGGGAGGGAGAGAGGAAGAAAAAAGAGTAAAAGAAAGAAAAGAAAGCAAAGGCTGGCTGCACATTTCCTTTGACAAAGCTAGAAGTTTCTTCCACTGGAATCCACTTTAAATGTTTCAGCGGTTGGAATATTGCATTTTAGTTCACATGCTCCATACCTAAACTAATCCCAAGAGGAACATTGTCAGCATGCAGCATGTTTATTGCAATTTTTCTGGGAAACTATTTTAAACCACAAATACTTATTTAGTTCTTTATTGTTTCAGGTAATTTAAACTGTGAAATCTGTGCTATGGTGAGAGGTGGTTTAGTAGGAGCTGTCGTGGGTTTTTTCTACCCCATCATTCTAGCTTTGCCTCTGAATGCATTGCTGGCTACAAGGTATGTTTCAACCGCATTGTTATATTAAGCACTCTGTTAGCAGCTTATTTGCAGGAACCAAGATTGTGTTTTTGTTTGTATTTGGAAATTGCTTTTGTTGTTATTTATTAACCATTTGCTTGAAAATCAAATGTCTACAAAACTGCGTGCCTTGTCTTATAAACTTCCATTTTTCTGGAATTTCTGGATATAATTCCAAAAAGCCTATTTATCCATTGCTTCTGTTTTGCAAGATAGTCTGTTTTCATTTATAAACGTTCATTGATGACCTTTCACTGTTGAACTATGTGGGTAACGAAAGCGTTGGGATGTAAACCTTAATTCTATGTAATTATCCAACATGATCATGTAGATTGTAGGATTCTGTACCTTACCGACTTATGTACGAAATTATTTTCTTAATTTAAATGTTTTCCTCAACTTTGGCTGCTGTCATTAAGGAAAAGTGCAATTCGTTAAGTAGCTTCCAATACCCTGCTTGTGGGAAGCCAGCAGAAAATGTCGGAAATCATGATCACGTGACCATGGGACATTGCAATGTTGTAATCCTAAACTGGGGACCCATCACATGGCCATGGGGATCCTATGATGGCCAGAACTCAAACCTGTGATAAGTCCCCTAATTCAGCACCAACATAACTTTGAATAGTCGCTGAACAAGTGGTCATAAAACAAGGACTACCTGTAGGAAGAGGGAACACAGTTCCAGAATGTAATGAATTTACATTACAATTAAAACCCATTATTGCAAAAGCTTTACCTTTCTATACCCTTCTTTATATAGGTAGTCCTCAACCTACAGCCACAATTGAGGCCAACACTGCCATTGCTAAAGCAAGTCCATTGTTAAGTGAGTTTTGGCCCCATTTTACTATCTTTCTTGCCACAGTTGTTATGTGAATCGCTGCATTGCTAAGCTAGTAATATGTTTGTAAAGTAAATTTGGCTTCCCTGCTGACTTTGCATGTCAGAAGGTCGCAAAAGGTGAACCCCGGCCACTGCAACCGTCAGGAGCCAGTTGCCAAATTTGATCACGTGACCACAGGGAGGCTACAAAAATGGTCATAGGTCACTTTTCTCAATACCGTTGTAACTTCAAACGGTCACTAAACAAATGCATGGAAGTTGAAGTCTGCCAGTATCCTCCTTTGAATAACATTATTCAATTTTAGAAAGAAACTCTTAGCAATTCATTTCCTTCTCGGTAGTAGAGTCCATTTTAAATCTGGGAACTGGGTCCTTTTTTTAGGAGTGACAAAGCTGTTAATTATTGCAATCTTAGCCAAATTCTTCTTCATAATCTTTTCTCCCTCTTCCAGGTACTATACTGCTCCCTTGCCAAACAAAGACAATGCAGTGCGATTCTGGGTCTTGCTTAGTAAACCGATTTTCAAAAAGTTGAGATTTGCTGCTTTAATCCAAGTTGCTTTTGGCGCATACCTTGGTTCAAAACACCACGAAATATATCTCAAAATGTTGCGCATGCCTGAACCTGGAAGGGATCCCGAGGAAATCAGAGAATAAACCTTTAAAAAGGTGTTTGGCTTTTATTTGATTGGAGTTCTTTCAAGGTTTGGGTAACTTCTGAGCATTCTAGTCTGGTTTGGGTCATTTATATATCAACTTTGTGAAAATGGGAAAATTGAGACACCCCTCCCCCAATCCCAAGGAGAATCTTAAAGGGATTGACCTCTCATGCTGTACTACAAGAGAGTAACCAAGAACATTGGGTGAATGAGAAAAGCAACAACTAAATTTTTTGGGAGGAAAGTAAAGAGGTACTATTGAAAAAGAAGCTGTGTATATCTTATTTATATAAAGTTTATAGATATATTTGTCTATATATGTACGCAGCAACAAATGTATCCAATACATAGAGCCCTTCCTGAAGCACATGAAAAGCATTGAATAATACTTCTAGTAAGCCAGCATAGATTGTTGATAGAGAGTATTTCTCGGTTATTTCCACAATCCAAAACAAAATGGAGGGCAATTTCATGCAAGACTCCAACAATAACTCAACTTATCCAGTGAATAAAAATAGTAACATAGCTAACAACATGGGCAGTCCTCGACTTAACGACCAGTTGCTTAACAACAGCTCGAAGTTACAACAAACTTCCCTAGAGCTACTTGCAATTCATTTTCGAAATCCCAGTGGCTGCACTCAACCCTAAAGATAAAGGTATCGCCTGTCCAGCCGTGTCAGATGCTAGGGGGCAGTGCATATCTCAAGTTTCTTAGCCAAGGGAATCTCCAAAGACATTTCTGTGGTCATGTGGCCAGCATGACTACACCAAGATGCATGGAAGGTTATCTTCCCATTGAAAGTGGCATCTAATTATCTCCTTGCGTTTGCATGCTTTGGAGTTACTAGGTCAGCAGGAGCTGGGGTAAGTAATGGGAGCTCACCCCTTCATGCAGAGCTTGGCTCTCAAACCTGGGCTGTCAGCTTTGCAGCTGACAAGCTCAACATCTAACCGCTGAGCCATTGTGCTTCCTGGACACACCTCTATGGTCATGTAGCTGCATTTTGAGCACTTGGCAGCTGGATCACCTTTACAACAATTTGCACTGTCCCGCAGTCCCATGACAGCAATTTGTGCTGTTTTACTTCCAGTTTCGGGGGAGAGAAACACTCATTGGGAAAATGGATTTGCTCGATAAAAAACGGTCACAAAATCAGATCCGGTCATGTAATGCTTCAACCTATGAACCACGACGATTTACGACCATCATTCTGGGCTCTATCACAATCCTACCTTGAGGACTACCTGTCTGAGAACTAAATCATACAGATGGGGCTTTCATCAGAAATACTTGTGCACAAGAAAATTTTTGGAAGATCTCATACGTTCTTTCCTTAAGCAAATCAGTTGTTTAAGAATTATAAGTTTAGCTTCAAATTTGCTGGGATATACCTATTTCCAAGTTTAAATATCCATATTATAATTACACAAAGAACAAGACATTAAATCTGTTTCGTGGCCAACCCACTTGCCCACCTTCCCAGTAAGTACTTCCATCTATCCCCATAGGGCCCCCATTTTTGCTAGTCACCCCTATTCACTCATTACTGCACCTACTTGCCTTATCAACTATGTGTTTGGATAATATCCTTTTATCTACTAAAATGTAAGAGGATGGCAACTAACTCTTGAAAGATGTGCTGCTATCAGATGGAATTATCTCACAGGGGCAAGGACTCATTAAAGGCCTCAAGTACCTAAACTAACTATTGCCAAGAGATATATCATTAAAAATGACTCATGTCCTCAGCATCTTTTTCAGCATGTGTGCAGGGCTGAGGGTGGAGTAGAAATTTTAACTCTGCAGCTAAGGCTCACGTGACTGTAGAGACGTTGGCTGGGGAATCAGGACTGCATGAAAGAAACTGTTACCACTGGTAACAGGGCGAAATTTTCAACGGTTTTGCAAATCTGGAGCTTTCTCCAAAGTTGAAGAATTGAGACTATCTGAAGCAAACTGGCCCCCACTTAAATGCAGACCAAGCCCAATTGTTCCGTTGCTAGCTTTTAATGTCGCAGTACAGAGAGCTGTACAGGTAGTCCTTGAGTTATGACCCACAATTGAACCCCAAATTTAGGCTGCTAAGTGAAACATTTGTTAAGTGAGTTTGCCCCGTTTTAAGATTTTTCTTGCCAAAGTTGTTAAGTAAATCACTGCAGCTGTTAATAACAGGGTTAAGTAAATCTGGATTCCCCACTGACTTTGCTTGTCAGAAAGTCACAGAGGATTACATGACCTTGGGACACAGCAAATGTCATAAATATGAACTGGTTGCCAAGCACCTGAATTTTGATCATGTGACCATGGGATGCTGCAATGGTCATAAATATGCAAAACATTTGTTAAGTCTCTTTTTTCAGTGCCGTTGTAACTTTGAATCATCACTAAATGAATTCTTTTAAATTGAGGACTACCTGTATATATAGGATGCAGAGTAACTAGTTGCCCACACCTGCTCTAAATTATTTTTATGTGCTCTGAAGCTCAAATACTTACTAGTGCAAGTGCCATTTATCTTTATCATATGCCTACTTCAAGCCGATACTTTTTAAGATTGTCTATAAAACTTTTTTATTCAGTGTAGTTCTAATTATGTTAATATACACCCAGATATGAGTCACAAAGTGTTTTTTTACTTGAAAAAGCTAGTTAATTTTAGATCATACGTGAAATCCATTCAAAATGATGTTTCAAAAAAACCCAGAATAAGCCACTTTTCAGACATTTTACCTCCAAACGAAAGAGAACTTGGGATATTTCCGTTTTGCAAGGTTAGTCCTTGCCTTACAACAGTTCATTTAGTGGCTATTTGAAGTTACAACGGCACTGAAGACTGACTTATGACCGTTTTTCACCCAACCATTGCAGCATCCCCATGGCCATGAGATCAAAGTTCAGATGATGGCAACCAATTCATATTTTATGATGGCTGCAGTGTCCTGGACTCATGCAATCACCTTTTGTGACCTTCTGACAAAAAAAGTTATAAAAAAAGATGTTGAGACTTTGAAAAAAAAGTGCAAAGAGCAACAAAGATGATTAAGGGCCTGAAGACAAAAACATACAAAGAATGGTTGCAGGAATTGCGTGTGGCCAGTTTACAGAAGACATGATAGCAGCAGTCCAGTGCTTAAAGGGCTGCCATAAAGAGGGGATCAACTTATTTTTCCAAAGCACTGGAAGGCAAGACAAGAAACAATGGATGGAAACTAAAGAAAGAAGCAACCTGAAGAAGAAACTTCCTAACTGAGGACAATTAACCAGTGGAGAAGCTTGCATTCAGAAATTACGGATGCTTCATCACTGGAGTTTTTTTTTTTTTTTTTTTAGAGACTGGATCTGAAATGGTATAGGGTCTTCTGCATGAGCAGGGGGTTGGAATAGAAGACCTCCAAGGTCCCTTCCTGCTCTATTCTGATTGAAAATCAATGGGGAAGCCAGATTCACTTAATTTACTGCAGGGATTCACTTAACAACTATGGCAAATAAAGGTCGTAAAATGGGGCAACATTCATTTAACACTCTCACTTAGCAATAGAAATTTGGCACTCTATTGTGGTCGTAAGTCAAGGACTACCTGTGTAGCACGGCTTTGCCCCTTCAGACATATCCCAGTGGTCCAGTGAGGTCCATAGCACCTCACCTCAACCACCACTGATGCACTGGCCTGGATGCTTTTTCCTTGTCAAAGGATTAAGGAATAGGCTGCCAGTGTAGCATACTGCACTGGCATGCTTGCTCACAATCTTATCCTCCTCCCTCCAATGGCAACCAATGGTTATTGGGTTATCCCATTTTTGTCTGCACTGTATTAGCCTATTTTTGAGCAAAATGTTTCGTTCTCTATATGGGCCAAAAGGACCTTGGATCCAGCAGAATTCTAAATCTAAAGCATAAAGGGTATATTTCAACAGGGACATCTTATTCATACACACTCCAGACTTGGAATCCTTAAATAAGACAATTGTTACCTAGTTTATAGAAATATTTTGTTCATCTGTACATTAGCAATGCCCAACCCTCCAAAAATACTAGTGAAGATTACATGCTTAAATACTACATATGCTTCTTGAAATGAACTGCATGTCTGAACGGTACTTAATATGAACATCTCTATAGTCAATAAAGCATATTGCAGTTTTTGCATTGATAACAACTGACAGCTAAAGATACCAAACTTTATGGAATTGCCAGAAAAAAACCCCAAAATGCATAGGTATAATCAAGCAATGTTTAAACGGCTGCTTCAAATTTTAATTCTATGAATGTAATTTGGTAATGCCAAATTATTTTTCAATGAAATGTTAAAATCTGTGTAAGGTTACCTCAGAGATACCCAGCCTTGAGAACTTTTAAGATGTGTCAACTTCAACTCACAGAATTCTGGGAGTTGAAGTCCACCGATCTTAAAATTTCCCAGTTGGACACCTCTGGTTTAGCAAAAAGGTTTTTTTGGGGGGGGAGGTCTGCATGTGTATGGCTTTGGGGGAAGAATTTGGGGAGATTCTTACTTAAGTTTTTTTTTTTTATCTGTACTGTTTCCCAGGGAGGATGAAAAAAAAATATGCATAATACAGGTGAAACTCGAAAAATTAGAGTATCGTGCAAAAGTTCATTTATTTCAGTAATGCAACTTAAAAGGTGAACCTAATATATGATATACACTCATTACATGCAAAGCAAGATAGTTCAAGCTGTGATTTGTCATAATTGAGATGATGATGGCTTATAGCTCATGAAAACCCCAAATCCACAATCTCAGAAAATTAGAATATTACATGCAATCAATAAAACAAGGATTGTACATAGAACAATGTCGGACCTCTGAAAAGTATAAGCATGCATATGTACTCGGTACTCGGTATGGGCCCCTTTTGCAGCAATTACTGCCTCAATGCGGCGCGGCGTGGCATGGAAGCTATCAGCCTGTGGCACTGCTGAGGTGTTCTGGAAGACCAGGATGCGTCAATAGCAGCCTGCAGCTCTTCTGCATTGTTCGGTCGCATGT